TCCCCCAAGAATAAAAATAAAATCAGTTTTGAGACAGTCTTTGAGTTATTCTCAGTTGTCAGAGATTGATATATGAACCAGCAGCCGAGCCCCTAATTGCGTGATTTATGCTGGCTTCCGGACCAAGTGGGTGATGCTTTTGCGAAGCAAAGATGGCGAAATATGTTGAGGGTCACGTAAAATATTTTCGTTTTTTGTTTAGTATTTTTCACATCCCATGTGTTCTTCGAGTTTTTTTTTTCTTCTTGTTGTTGTATGAAATCTAGGTTCGTTTTCCACGTTTCTTTACCCAGAATTCCGAATTGCACATACAATAGAAGAAATTTTCAATTTTCTTTTCTCAGTGTAAATCACGTGGAATAGAAATTGGTGAATGACTCAAGTTGTACTTCTCTTGGTCAGATTAAAGTGGAAGCCATTTGAATGTCGGTGCCCCATCAAATGACTCAAGGGAGGAGCTCAATGTTGCAGTCATGGAGTATAGATGTCACTTTTACAACGACAAAATCAGAGGTAATTGCCTGGTACATGGCCAGCTGGGACTCTTGAATCCCAAAAGATGCGCCGAGTCATGTTTCAAATTCCACAAGCACTTGAGGAATCAACACAAAATACAAATAGTTTTAATTGGCAAAAAATACCTCTCATATGGAAGACGTTAAGCAACAATGATGAATGATTTTGTCTACAACGATTCCTTTTCCTTCTCATTCCCTGCAACTTTTTGTTTTCTACCTCTCGCTCGGGAGGGGAACAAATAGAAAGGTCTGTGGATTTTCTTGGAAGCCGGCAGATTTAGTTTGCAAAAAGGAGCCACTAATAAAATAACTCATTTTTTGACCAAAAAAGCCAATTTTGTTGGCCAAAAATGCGAATTCAACTGCATGAGAGAGGCTGATTTTGGTGCCCCACAAACGCCAATTTTGCTGGAAGGGGGGTGGAAGAATAAATTCCTAATTTTTGGAATGAAAACCAAAAATCCCCTGTTCTCTTCCTGAGAAATTTTAAAGCCATTGTTCCAACTCTTTGACAACATATTCTCAGGGTTTAGATCGCATACATAATTCTTTCATTGGTTTCCGAATAAAATTAGTTGCCTCTTTGATTCAAGCTGCTTTTCCATCTTTTTATTGTTTGTAACAGACTGTGATTCAATTCTTCTAACCCCATTTAATAAAAACTTTCCATATTTGTGATGTGCTCTGTGTGCTTTTATTTTTTGAATTTGTATTTTTTTCTAAGACTTTTTTATGCACTGTGAATTCTTGTGTTTCAGCTACATTTAAAATATTCTGTCAGGCTTGGATAGCATGAACCACTATATATTGACTTATTTTCAATGAAGAGGCATTTTTCCATACAAAATAAGTATCAAAATATTTTTTCTAGCCTCGCGTAATAATTTATTCCTACAGGGATTGTCTACAACGAATTTCTCCCTACAACGAATTTGTTTCTGGTCCCCTGCAATTCTTTGTAGAGAGAGTTCGCCTGTAGTACAGTAGTTGACTTTCTGCTCCGACTAATTTCTTTACTTAGTGAGACAATTCTTCAACTTGGGAAAGTGCCCTCCCGAGACCTTCACAATAAAAAATCGGCACACAGAGCAAAGCGAATATTCTACCCTCACCCAAGACTTCAAGAGTCAAGACAGTCTCATGAAAAAAAAAA